GTGGACAGCTGGAAGGGAAGCCGAGCAGGCCTGCGGTTGGAGAAGTCAGTGTGGCAGCCCTTGATCTGGACTACACCTGGGGATAGGTGTCCCACGCACATTTATGTGGGGATAACTTACAGTGTCCTGAACATTGCACACAGCTGTGAGATAAGCGAGCTATGACAATGACTAGCTAGCATACGCATAGGCAAGCAAGGCTCAGGACATTCAGGCAATACTCTGGAGCCTGCTCAGAACCCAGGGAGCCCCATGAGTTTCCCGTTTCTTGACCTCCAGCCATGGATGCGTTCCCATACACCCAGCGGCATCCAGTGAACAGATCCCTTTGCTTAAATATTTATGTGTTTTACTTCTTAAGACAGAAAGTCTAAACTAGTGAAGTCTTGATGCATCGGGTTTGGTTGTGATACATAAAAAACTGATAGTGAAGGAGCCTTAGGTGTTCTGCCTGTACTTCCAGTAAGACAAACAAATCTCAGCTCTCCCAGCCAAGGCGGGACTCCTCTCTCTTTCTTCAGAGGGAGAAGAGTTTAACAGAAGCGTTGGCTGGACCCCGGGGCTGGGAGAGCTGTTCCATAGGCCAGGATCCTTGCCACTATCCTCGCCCTTGCATGCTGTCTGCAAACTCCCTGCAGAACAGCTCTGCACAGTGCTGGAGGTCAAGGAGAAGAAAAGGTAAAGGGTTGCTCTAGAGACTCAGGTAAGCCTGTGATGCAGGAGCAGGGCTCTGTCCCCTGCCACCAGGGGGCATCTCCTGTATTAAGGACTCTCCTTCTTGGGTACAAGAGGAGTCATGGTGTGTAGCATGAATGAATGGCAGAACAACAATAACTTGGAGGACCCCACTTCCCTGCAGTTGCGATCCATCCAAAACACTGAGCGTTCAAACCATCCCGTCCCGAGTCCCAGCCCCTTTCAGCCCTTCCCTGCCCTCCATTCCACTGTTAACACACACCAAGTCCTAAGGCTGACTTCAAACACCATTTCACATTTCCTCCCCAAGTATATCCCTGCAGTAATGGCAAACACACAGAAACTTGATGAACGAAGGGTAAGAATACAATAAAAATTTCCAGCAGTTATTATTTGCTACATAAGAGAGAGGCTCTGCACTGGCTGCCAAGAAATCTGAGAGCCTCATACCCAGAGGGCTGCATACCCAGAGACCCTGGGGTATGGCCCTCAGACCATCCTCCTTGGGGAGGAGGCTACATTAGTAGCCAATTACATCCCACCTTCACTGATAACCAATTTCCTGCACAGAACCAGGGGCTCATAGCTTTTGGGATGAGTACCAACTGATAAGAAGCTGTTGTTGCAGAATCCCAGTTGATTTTATTTTCCTCTTGGCACTGTGGACTAGAATGCCAGTGAGGAGGGAGCACGGGAAAATGGACTTAATTAGCAAGATGAGCCTAGTGCCTGCTAGGATCACTTCTCAGAACACAGAGAACAGCCGTGGTCACAGTTTTCCTCTGAGGTAGGAAGAAACCAAAGGCTGGGGAAAACCAAAGGCTGTGGTGGCAATGTCAGACCAGAAGCTGAAGCCAATTATAGAGTCTTTACCCTTTGCGGCAGCCAGTCTCCAAGATGGCCCCTGATGACTGCTGCCTCCGGGTATTCTCCAGGAGGTGTTCCTCTCCCTCACTGAAGAGGGATGGGCTGTGTACCCAAGAGGATATTCCAGAAATGACGGAGTTTGACTTCCAAGAGGAGGCCACAAACAACACCACAGCTTCTGCCTTGTGCTCTCTTGCATCATTTGTTTTGAGAGAAGCCAGCTGCCATGTCATGAAGATACTCAGGCAGCACTATGGAGGGGTCCGTGTGGCAAGGACCAGAGGCCTCCTGCCAACAGTCCACGTCACTTTGTCAGCCACATGGGGGAGGCACCTTGAAGCACTTCCTCCAGCCCCAGTCGAGCCTTCAAATGATCACAGCCCCAGCCAGCATCTTGACTGGCACCTCATGACACTGAGCCAGAACCACTTGGCTAGCTGCTTTCAGATTCTTGACCCACAGAAACCATGATATTGTACATATTTATTGTTGTTTTATATCACAACCTATGGTGTAATATATTTTGCAGCAAATAGATCACTCATGTGCCCTGCCAAGTATACCATCCTATCTGTCTCTACAAGAAACTGACTTTATCCCTAGTGGGAAACCTTGCCAGAGTGTCTTAAGTAAACAATCTTCTCCTTGCTAGAGTATCCGTACCTCCTGATATCCATATCCCCTGCCTGGATATTCAGAGGCAGAAAGCCGCCATTCTGCTGCTCTTCTTCTCTATCATCTTCAAGCACTGTAGCAAAGTAAACACACACACATACACATGCATATACAAACATTCACACACACACAGAGCTTCCTCTTAAACCTGAAAAATCACTCAAGCACTGGGAAGATGCATTTTTTTTTTCCAGGAAGGACCGGATGCTCTGGATGTTTTAAGTACCATTTATGCATGCTGTCTCTGAATAGACAGATGGAGGGAGGTAGTGTGGGAGGGTACAGCTGACTACTGAGAATTGATAGATGTCTCTGTTCTCCTTTGCTAGTCATAAAATTCTGAGCTGTGTGAGGACCAGCAGGAGAAGAAAGCCACTGCCACAGCATCCAAGCATTCATTTAAATATTTCAGAATGGAATTTTCCCCCTTTATTCACTTTTCCCCCTCCTGTTTGTCTCCCCAGGTGAGGAAGAGGGTCTTTAATAAAGCAAAAACAGAGAATCTGTGAGCATAATAGCACGTCTAAACTATGCTAGAGGCAGTCAAGATAGAGAGAGAAATATTTCCTTGTGTAGGTGTTCAACGCTGAAGAACGTGGAAGATATCAGGTGTAGATTAAATACCTGGAGCTCCTTGTCCTCTAGGGTGGGGGTCAGGAAGAATGCTCTGAGCCTAGAAGGCATGTAGCATTCTTCCAGGCTACAGGGGGCCATGAAGGCAGAGGCAAAGGGTAGAGAGAGCACTCAGAGTGGGGAATAAAACACAGCAGAGAAAAAAGAAATCAGGCAGGGAAGGAATTCTGGAATGTTCATCCAGAGTGGATCTGTATGGGCTGAAACATGACCTGGTGAGAAACAGTGTCTCCCCATCTTCTTAACTATGTGTTCATTTTTTTATTTCTGCTAAGGGCCTCTACCTGTCTGTCCTTCCAAGTGTTGAGTCACACCTGAAGGGTTACATGAGCAGTGAAATATTCTTGTCTCATGACAAGTAGAACCACGGAGGTCCTTCTCTGGGAAGAGTCGAGGCTGATCATAACCACAATTTGGGGAGGCAGTTTGGGGACACATTCTTGTGTCTCACTCTCACCTGCCCCTGGATGCCCTCCAGAACCAGGTCCTGCTTCTCTGCTCATCTTCATTTATGCAACTTCTCTTGATGAGCTTATCCTCACCTATGATTTCACCCACCAGCTCTGATTGATAATAAATCTGGATTTCCAGCCCTGGCCTCTCATCCCTGATCTGCCCCTGCGTGCACCTGGGCAAGGACTTGCCTCCCTCTCTTAGTTGTCTGACCTTCACCTTACACTCAACATGCCCAACTTAGAATTCAACTCCACACAAAGACTTCTTTTCTCCATGACCTTATCCCTGTCATTTAGGGACCTTGGGATCACCTCGGTCTTCTATTTGCTCAAGTCCTAAAACCATTCTGCCAGCGAGGCTTGAGGTCTTTCCCTTCAAACTATACCTTCATCAATCAATGACTACCTTGTGCTCACTGCCTCCACTCTATTCAAACCCATCATGACAAGCCTGGAACACCCTTTTCATTCCTTTGTCACTTCCTGCCATATTTCAAAGTTGGAAGCAAGTGCCCCATTTCCCCAAGCCTTATCTGACCCCTCAAGATCACATTTGTCTCCTTTCTGGAACTGCTATTCGTTCTATTCAAAAAATAGTTATTGAGGATCTATTGTGTACAACGTGCGAGGTACTGAGGACGCTAACAAATAATTAGTCTAGTAACCATCACACCAAGAATCCCTTCTGTGTTTTTTCTCTCTTAAGAGTGTTTCTCCAACCAATTTCTTAAATAGCCAGGACTACGTCTTCAATGTCTTTTGTGAAACCCACAGTGACAGACTATAGGGCACATAACGTTTTCTTACCGAGTGCTTGTTGGTTATATGCAAGATGGGTAGCAGAATAAGACTAGAGATACATGTCAACTGCAATGTTTACCTAGACTGGAGAATTATCTTTGGTTAAGAAAAAAAAAAAAAAAAACACATCAAGAAATTAAAGAAACCTCACTGTTTTGGAGTGGTGTTTTACATGTATAACCAACAATTCAATTTAACTTGGCAAATGATTTCATTCAGATTTTAAATATAGTGGTTAATAACCCATTTCCCAAATTCCATAATCATGAACTGATAGGCACATATTAAGACTAAAGAACTAATATAAAAATGATTCATAGCACCTTAATAATTTGAACATAGATATTTGAAATGTCCTAAGAGATTTTACAAGACAGAAATAGGAGCAAATTGAGAAGCACTGAACACAAATTCTTAGATAAAACCATTCTGTCCTATTAAGGACAAGGATATTGATAGGATCTAAACACATGAGGTAACCCGGCCATCCTCTCAGCAAAAGGATGTCTTGGAACCAGGGATAGAATGGGGCTCAGGCAATACCAATGGTGTACTTTCTAATTGTTCCCAAGAAAGAAACTTTTGTGAATCAGAAGTGGAGGAATATCATTTCTCCCAAATGTAAAAGTTTCTGGTACAAGGAAAAAATAGGGAGATAGTTCGCTCATCCAAACCTCAAATGGTATAGTTTTGATACTTCGTTCAGAAGATCTAGTATGGACCTCTACTTAGACATCCGGTTCAAGGAACGTATGTCACCCTAGCCCAGAAGAGATCTTCACATGCTGAACAGAAGCTCAATTCAGAGTCAAAAGTTAGTCCCAGGCACACATCTACTGTCAAATTTAATCTTTTAAACAATTTTGTACTCACCTGCCAGAATATGCTATCTATTGTGTTTCCAAGAAAACCATCACGACCTTCTGAAGACACCAGTTTGGGGCCAAGAATTGTCATGAATTCATCAAAGTCCACTTGGCCGTCCCCTGGAAGGAGAAAATATAAATGTGAGTTGAAATGTTGTTGATAGAAAAAAAAAGGGGGGCGCCTGAGTGGCTCAGTCGGTTAAGTGTCTGCCTTTGGCTCAGGTCATGATCCCAGGGTCCTGGGATCGAGCCCCACATCGGGCTCCCTGCTCCACGGGAAGCATGCTTCTCCCTCTCGCACTCCCCCTGCTTGTGTTCCCTCTCTCGCTGTGTCTCTCTCTGTCAAATAAATAAATAAAATCTCAAAAAAAAAAAAAGAAAGAAATGTTGTTGAAATTGACCTACTGCGCCCAATGAAATAAACATCACCACGCTTTTCTTCTTGCCGTGACCTCAATCAATGAAGAGCTGGTAGCATCACTGAAAACTGTGCAACATTCTTAAAATACCAAGGGAAACACAAGAAACTGGCAATATTAATCCATCCAATACCATATATTCCTAATTGTTTGCCAGTATTTCCATATCTAAATGCCAAACCAGCACCCCCCACTTAAATGGCCACCCTCACACCTGCTGTACCTTCTGTACCTCAAATTGCCTAGCTGTACACATGATGGAAATTGCAGCTTCATCCCCATCTCTTCCTTCATCCTGTCACCCACACATATATTGAGACATCAAGTCTTTTACCTCTTCCATGTCTGTGCCTGCTCTATCTTCCTTGTCAATTCAATCACTAGTCCCTTTCCGAAGACTGTGGTGGGAAAATGTTTGCAAGAATTAATGTACCTAGTTATAATTACAACATTACTAGCGGAGTGGCTCTCTGCTCTCACACTCTCACCTCCACACTGTCTCCCATACAGTAGCTCACCGCCCCCCACAAAGCATAACTGATGATGCTTTATAAACGTCAGTGACATCTTTGACCAAAAATAAGGAAACCACTCCAGGATGGCATTCAAGTACTACTATCCCTTTCGCTGTCTTTTCCTCCCCACCTCTGCACAAAATGCCATGCTTTTTCTGAACTTCATCACTCGGTACATGCTGTTCCCTCCATCCAGGATGCCTTCCCTGACTTGTCTGCCTGACGAACATCATCTCGTTCTCTGAGATGGAACTTAAATATCATGTTCTCTTTTTGTTTTACTTTCTGACCCTCATCTCACTAGACAGAATTGTTTCCCCATCTACCTTCATATGCATCTGTCGTAGAACTTATCAGCCTGTATCTCAGTCACTGATCTGCATGCCTATTTCCCGCCTGCATTGTGAGCTCTGCAAGGTCAGGGACCCAGTCTGAAACTTCTTTGTATATTCTACACAATGGCAGGCACTCAGTATGTACTTACAGAATGAATGAATGATATCTCTTGCTTGTTTTTTCTTTGCTCAGCTCCACATCTTTCATGCTAGATCTGACCCTCACCAAAAGGTGAACTTGAGCCAACTCAGATAAAAACAGACCTTCCAGGTACTGTCCAAGCCTCAGTGACTCATCAGCGTGGCATTCTGCACCCTTAGAACTGCTCAAGAGGGCGTCTCCACCAAGAGCTCACCACATGTTAGCCCAGTTGGTGCAGACGGCCCAGGTGTCTACACACAAGGTTGCCAAAGTCACACACATCAACCCACTCTCAGAGTGCAACTGCCTTCAAAGAGCCCTCATTCAAAACCTATTTCAAAAAGCTGAGCAGATGTCATCATCAAGATGCCAATAATTCAGAAAAAGAAGTCCAGAAACACACTGCAGTGTAGATTAAAAAAAAAAAAAAAAAAAAACCCAAGGGGGGAGGGAGGAGTGACAAGTCAGTGAGAAAGGAAAGATTTAGCACCAAATGGGTGGGGCAATCACTGGGTTACTGGAAGACACTGGTTTACCCCTCCCCATTCAACAGGATAGAGGATCGAAAATTTCACCCTCAAAATAAATAAATTAATTAAATTCTACCTTCAGAATATTAATTAATCAATTAAATTCCATCCTCACTGGTCATCATGAGAAGGTTAATCAAGCAACAGCGAGGTACCATCTTGCCTCTCAAATTAGCAAATACTTCTAGAAAGAATATTGCTCAATGTTGGTAGAGATACAGAGAAGGGGTAGGCTCTCTTACGCCTTCCTGGTACACTCACCCCAGATTCTGGACTGACGGTATTTAAGATGCTATACCATGCTGATACCTTTTGCCCTAATAACTTCACTTTTTTCAGAAAAATACAAGGCAAGGAAACTATCTTAAATGCAGACTAATACATTTGCCCCAAAAGAGTCATCCAGTATTTGTGAAAGTGGGAAATTGGAAGCTGTAGGAAAAGGAAAAAGGCCCAGGCTTCCTGGCATTCACACTGAGCTAGTTCCCTGTGGCTCCTAGTCTCCTACAGATGTACGCTTGTTAAACACCTGCGCTGACCCTCGGCTCACCCCGAATCACCCCCGCTCATCTGGTGCTAGATGCCCAAAACATCTCAGACTAGAATATGCATTCTCTATAGAAACAGTAACACCCTCAATGAGGTGAAAATGGATTCCTGGGAGACAAACAATCTTAGATATTACAATGGTTTGTGGCTCTCCTTGGGCCACAGAACATAAACAGATGTACAGTATATCTGTGTTATGAAAATTTCATAGGGTAAGGCAACTAGGGAAACCAATGTCTTAAAAAGTTCCTGGTGGTGGGGTGGCTCTGAAAAAGGAGAAGGAGTTGGAGGAGGAGGAAGAGGAAGAGGAGGAGGAGGGAGGTCCAGAAACAGTGGACAAGAAGATGCCCTAAGTACTATGGATCCCCTTCTCCAGCCCTCCCTCTGTAATGTTGTTCTATAAGCAGTGGGCATCATCCCAAATGTCTGTCACCCATGACAACATCTAACAGTTCACAAAGGCTAGGAAGCTCAAGGGCATGGATCACTTTCTACGAAGCCCTAATGAGACCTTAACTAAAATCTATCCACCAAGCTGGGTCACTCAAGCTCCTGGCCACAGTGTAGTGAGTACTGCTTTCTCTCACTTGGGAATCTAAGAGGGGGTGGTCCATAGGATGTAGCAGAACCCCTGATTCTCAGAGCCGGGAGAACAGGGCTGTCTTTGAAGTGTCCACCTTCCAGGTAGCAGGGAAGAGACCACCCACCTCTCTGAACCCCCACCCACCCACCCAGGGAGCTGGGAGCGAATCGGTGTAGAACTGATGTATTTCAAGGGTCCAAACTGAGATGCTGTCAAAGTCATCAGGGAGTGTTCACAGATGGTGCCCTTGGCTGAGAACACCAAACCCAAAGCTGACAAGCAGAAATGATGGCCCCCGTGAGGGGAGCAGCCCGTTCACTGCTCAAATCCTTGGCCAGAGAGAAAGTTCTGGGCAGGAGGTGCTCAGGGCCCTATGGGCAGTGCCAACTGCAGTCAGTCCAAGAGGACAGGAGAGGTCCAGGTCGTGTGAGAATTCGCTTCTTACGATTTCATAGAGGACATCTGGAGCCTCAGATTTTTTGTGAGCAAAATATGATCCCCCTTTCCCCCCCCCTTTTTTTTCTGTTATGGAGCAAAGGGACATAGATTCCTGCAGGCCCACAACTGCAGAAATAGTCCAGGTGGGGCCCCCCCCCTTCTCTTGGGATTTTCTCAGCTTTGGCTCCTGAATATATGTGTACGTAGAACATTTTCTGCAGGCCCCCTGTAAATGAAGACTCATCCTAATTCATAGCTCAACCTCAGTCCAACCGGTAGTAAAAGGTTCTATTCAGATTTAGACTAGAAAACAGATCTCTTCAGGAGATCCTCATTTGACAGAAAAACAGAACTGGGAACACCCCATAAGCTATCTATGCTGCTCCCAGAAGTGTGGCCCCCAAGTCCCCACCCCCTCACTCCATCCATCCCAGGAGAAATGAGACAAATGGAATCTCAGAGGGAGGTTTTTCATCAAGTCCCTTATATGAAAACCATTCCCAGGCAGAAGCTTATGTCTAAAAAGGTCTAAAGAGTCTAATGATGATCAAAATATCTACCTTTGGACACGCACAATGTGGTGTGCATTGCTTACAAACATCCGTACACTAGTTCACTGAAGCCTTCCAGCAGCCCATTTTACAGATGGGGAAACTGAGGCACGGAGAGGTTCTGTAGCTTGCAGAAACTCACACAGGGAGCCGAGCTGGGATTCCACCCTGGGAGTGGATTGCTGTGTGTGCACTTGAACAAACTGTGGGCAGACACCCGGGCCTTCTCTGGGGAAACAGGGTCATAGCTGGGCTCTGTCTGGAACACTCTTTCCCCTGACCGCAGCATTGCCTGGCCTGGAGTGCTACGGCTGCCCGGGATATAGTGGCAAAGTGAAATCTAAATTGCTCCCTCTGGTCTAGCTGTTGGGTCTCAGGTCAACCATTAGAGGTCTTTCTTAATCATTAAGAAGAGTCACAATAAGTAATCAGAAGGATTATATTTAACACGTGCTGTATACCAGATTCTGAGCTCAGGGCTTTGCATTTATCATCTTGTCTGATTCTAAGCCAGCACTATGAACAGATTCTCCTCTTCCACACTTTACCTGTGAGAACACATAGGCGGGAAGGGGTTAAAAGTAACTAGATTGTGGCCACACAGCTAATATGTGCCAGCCAAGAGACTCAGCTTGGGACCTCTGATACTAGCCTCCACGTTGTCCCAGCTCCCCTGTGCATAAGAGATTCCGGCATAAATCCCAGCATAGGCTCGTATCTGTCTACAGACTCTGAGAGTACAATATGTCTTCCTATCTGGCTACTTAGGAAGGAATTTAGCGGGAAATTGGGTGAGATGGCCTTCAGGGGCTTTAATACAAATGACCATCGCCTAAAAGCCATTTCTTCCCCAAATTGCCATTCTGCCTGCAGTTGGGGTCTCGGTGATCCTCCTCGGATGGTCAATTCCCAGAGGACCCAGGCCTCTCACATACAGCCCTCCAGGCATCCAAAACCCCTTCCACTAAAAAGAATTGCTCTAATAAACAAGGCCTGTCCAGGCCAGCACGGTGACATCAGACTGCCCTTCTGGATTCTCATGCCCTCAGGGACAAAGG